GAAGAGAGAAGGAGAAGAAGAGAAGTTGAAAAGAAAAGAGAGCAATAATCCGGCTGCCCCCTTCACTTATTATTTATACTAAAAATAATAGAACAGTACAATGACAACTATGCCCTTATAGGGCGGCAAAACATAAAACAGCATATATAACATTCAAAAACATAATAAAATTTGGACTCACATAACTACTATGGTCCCCACCTCCTATCTAACAAYTAACATAAAACATCTACTAATAAAAGCATCATAAAACTGATTAATCTTCAACAAGGACATCTTAAAGAACCCATAAATAAATAAAAAAATAAGATAGTACCCTGCAGGAACTAGCATCAGATCAGTTCGCAAATCCTTCCATCTTGACTGGACAAAACAAAACAGACTTGTATTAAAACACTACCTAGGTCAACCAATGCTTCTTTCACGCATAATAAAAATAACCTACTTGTTCAGTCCCCCTAAAAGCAATGACTAATCGTTTCCGTGGTGAGTCACGCCAAATTGCTACCTGCATCTCTTTGAAATGAGAAGTTTATGCAACAAAAAATTTTTCACATATTAGAGAATATCTCAACAAAAACGTTCTTCAAAGAACTCTTTTTCCATAATTAAAATCCAGTAAATTTTGGCAAAAAATCAAAGACCTTCTTGTGAAGATATAACCTAACCTGTGTATCAGTGGATGTGTTATCAAGAAAACATATCTTCTCAAACTCAGACTTAATGAAACTCGGTTGGCCCAATGAAGTGGCAAGCATAGCCCATGCTTCCATGGCACTTTCTGCAGTTGAAAATAGTTCCTTCATCTCCTCTGCTTTTCTTGGGTCCAATGTCAATCCATCCAGAGCATTGTCTACCTTCTCATTTACAGAAAACCCTGAAACACCATCTTTCACTGTGGTAGAAGAACTGTCTACATTATCATTCTTTCCCACAGATTGTACTTGCTTGTTCTCTTGGGAAAATGATGTTGTCAGAACCATCAATGCTCCTAAAATCGAATCAGTTTGTCTTAACACATTCAAAGATGCCTTTTTAATATCGGGAAGGGAAGATTGAATTGTTTCAATGGCAGGAGGACCAATTTCAGCATCATTTGAATCCTCACTTTTTGGAGCTGCAAGCCCAGATTCAATATAACCTTCTTCAGCAATACTCCAGGACTGTAGGCCAATTCTGTACAACAGCTCAATTCCATCCCACTTTATTTTCTCAGGAACAGGAAAACCAAGTTTCTGAACAACACTTTGATTGATAATATCAGCAAAGTTCTTCCAGAAATGCTTGTCTGACTGCACAGATTCATTAACTTCTGACTCCAGTGCAAAGTTACTTCCATTATCACTAGCAGCATCAGCTGTGTGAGACACCATTAAATTGTTGTTGTGCTTGATGCTGGTTTCATTCAAAGAGTCTTCTCTACCATTCCCCTGCTGTGGTAGGATGTCGGAAACACCAATTTGATTTGTGGATCCAGAGCCTTCCATTTCAGAACTACCATTCTTAGAAAACTGGTTTTTCTGAACATATGCATCGTTGAATAATTTTAATTGTCCAAATGCATACTGCACAAACTGACGTGGTTGTACTGTCTCAGAGCCAACAACCATTTTCAAAGCAGATGTAAAATTGTTTTTTCCAAGAAAATCTGATACAAAAGGAATCCTCCACCATTGTTTCTCTTCATCAATTTCATCAAAGCTTTTAAACTTAACCTGAAAGACCATCATTACCAATAACATAAATGATTTTTGGCAATGAAAATATATATTAAAAAAAGAAACTACGGGCCCAAGTGTGAAAAACCAAATATGAAGAATGATATGTTGTATCATATTAGTATAGGATGTCACATACAGTAACACAAGAGTGCATACATGTATTATTCTCATTTTCTGCTTTCTGCTAAACCCCTTTCAGAACCTAAATCTTGTACAAGCATTTCTGGAAGTTAGTATAGTATGTATATGTAAAGTTACTATATAATATGTATTAGTATGATATGTGTAGAGAACATTGATGTGGGCCCCACAGCTGTGGTCCCACTCTGTCCATAGGGTAGAATGTATCTAGTCACAGCTGTGGTTATTTTGCTATTCTGTTATTTCTAGTTTCAGTTTTATATTGTTTGTTATTTGTTAGCAGTTATGATGTAAACACCAAGG